TGAATTTGTAGGCATTCGTCAAGAATTGTCTTTATTTTGTTTAGTCGCCGTAAATCAAGGACAACAATGGTTATGGTGGCCGATTTAACGGCAGTAATTTGATTTTGATCCTTGGTGTCACCGAATGACTTCACTTGACGATTTTTAGCAATAACTCGACTCCAGCGCCTCCTTGCGGCTCTGTTTTTCAGTAGTATTGCCCCTACCGTTACCAATGTACATCTTGTTAATGACGCAAATGGGACCATAAATACGATTTTTAGTAATAACTCGATTCCAGAGCCACCTGGCGAGCCGTTTTTTTCGCAGAAATATTTCCCTTCACGTTACCAAAGAATATTTTGAATAACTCGACTCCAGCGCCACGTGGCGTTGAACATAAACTATGCAGGGACTTTAGGACAAAAATTTCATTAAAATCATTTCGGTCGTTTAGGAGGCACTTATCTTAATATAATTGGTATAGATAAGTATCGATAAATAGCCAATACCAGGTTGCATTGCGGCGCCTTAAAACATTTCAAACTGTACAACAATCATTCAGTTCTATTCTATATAATAGATCGGTCCCTGATCCACCTATAAGAAAAAAACTATCCTATATGTTAATCCAGGCAGTAAGCTGCCTACGCGCCAAATTTCAAACAAAACGGAACATATTAGAAGAAAAAATGGATCCTATATGTTAATCTAGGAAAAGGCTACCTACGTACTAAATTTCAAGCAAATCGGACGATAAATATAACTTTTTATAATAGATCGGACTCTTTTCCACTTCACGGAAAAAAGAATCATATATGCTAATCTAAGCAAAAAGCTTCCTACGTACCATATTTTAAGCAAATCGAACCATAAATACGATTTCTTCGATTAGATCGGTTCCTGGTCCACTTCCCGGAAAAAATAATCATATATATTAATCTAGGCAAAAAGCTGCCTACGTACCAAATTTTAAGCAAATCGGACCATAAATACGATTTTTTCGAATAGATCGGTCCCTGATCCACTTCCCGGAAACGAGAAAAAAGCTACCTACGTACCAAATTTTAAGCAAATCGGACCATCACACGATTTTTTCCACCTACCGGAAAAAAGTAATTTTTTTTGGCCTATGACATGGTGGTTGCTGAAAGCTATTTAAAACAAAATTTTATCAAAATCGGACCAGCGGTTCGCGAGATTACCTGTTACAAAGAAAAGGGACTTCTCTTTATATAATTAGTATAGATTAAGTAAATCGGACCATAAATACGATTTTTTCGAATAGATCGGTCCTTGGTCCACCTACCGGAAAAAAGTAAATTTTTTTGGCCTCAAACATGGTGGTTGCTGAAAGATATTTATATGCAAAATTTCATGAAAATCGGACCAGCCGTTCGCGAAATTACCTGCTACAAAAAATGGGACTTCTCTTTATATAATTCGCATAGATGAATAAGGCCATTAAACTTTAACTTATTTGGTTTATGTTATGCAACAGACTACAAAAAATTAAATGATAATAATCCATATAAGCAAAGAAAATGTGTTTTTTAAAAAGTATTCGATACTACGAGTACTTTGCAAAGTATCGAGTAAAATCATCAAATAAGGTATCGAGTATTAATGTACTCATTTTTATACCCTCAGTATCGATACTTACTCAATATCGATAGTATCGTTCGA